TCGTAAGCTTAAGATGTTCCTCAAGCACACTTGTCGATTTTTGTTTCATGATAATGGTGAGATACGCGAGATCTTGGTCCAGATTTTGAGTGGCCATGCTGAAATGAATCACTCTTAACACTACTTGAACTTTTATCGTAAGTTTCAAGCTAAAAATGCTTTTCGTGTTCATTATTTTGCTTATAAAAATTATATATGAGGTGCGTTCACAAATTGTGACCTTAGCAGAGTTTTTCTTTATGCGGGCCATTTCAATGAAACTTGTTATGCCTCTTCCTCCTGATCTTTTTGAGTATGGAGAAGATGCAATGAGGAATAACTTGTAATATAGCACGAAAAAAGCATAGCATTTTTCTGAGACTCCATAGAACAACGGATGTCCCGCAACTTGTCGTAACCCAACAGAATCTGGGGTGTAACTAACTTCTCTCCTTTGTCTTTAAATGGAATATGATACTGTCGAATAAAGTCGGCATCGTCATTGGATAATGCAGGACTTCTAAACGACTTGGTTATAACGTTATGCGTGAGAAGATCTAGTTTGATCGGCACGCCTTCGGCATCCCAAGCATTTAACTGAACAAGACGGCAAATTTTTTCTTGTACTTGATCTGAACCGAAGGTATGTAAGCGTAATTTTTCCTCTTTAAGTTCAGGAAGTCGAAGTTCGTTTGCCAGGCTTGTGTCGATATAGGACATTTCTGCTTCCGTGTCGAAAAGAACGAATACTTTTCTCAGAGTGTTGTTCTTTTCATCAAACACTGTAAGCTCGCCTGTAGGTAAGAGAGTTGAGCACTGATCATTAAGTCCAGCTCTTACTGAGTGCAGCTCGCAGATGGTCGCATCATTTTTGGCGTTGTCTACTTCTTGTAACACGGTTGAATTTCTTGGTTCCCTTTACGTGCGAGTGTAATGGTTGTGAGAAACGGATGTAGTAACTTTCTTATCTTGACTCGGTCCTGAGTTGTGCTTTGTTGACAAGTCATAATGCTGTGGCACTCCTTTGAAGCAACAAGACGTGTGATGTAAGCCTTGACATTAAAAACATGTTCGCTTTTGACATTGAGAAGTCAAATGTTGCGGCGACGCGCAGATAAAGCAACGTTTGTGCTCACGCAAGTACTGGGAACACTCTTTCGGAGTAATGTACTTTGTGCACGCAATGGACTTGTGGTTAGCATTGCAGTACATGCATGATCGGGCATAACTGTGTTGGATGTCGTTAAATACTTTGCCTTTGCAAGGCAACATGATTTATATATGTTTAGTTTCCCTGCTTGTATGTAAGAGTACCATCTCTTCGCATTCAATGACTTCTTCGATATCTAAAAGGCTGCGCATACGAAATGGCACGCCCTGCATCGCTGTTTACTTTTTCGTCAGAACCTTACGTTAAATATAAACAGGAAATTTACAAAACTTGTTTTTGCAACCATTGGCTGTCAATACTCTCACCTTTTCGCTCTAGTTGAGCCACGATAGC